GCCAGTAGGTGGCAGCAAGTCACTGTTAATAAGTGAGTCATTGCGATTGAATAATTTAAACGGTCGATTCATTCAGGAACGAAACACCGTCATGCTGCTCAGAGACGCAAAACAGAACTGTGGCTGTGTTTGGAATTATTTTTGTTGGAGAAATAGAGCAAAAACAGGCAATATGATGTCTAAAACTTAAGTCTCTTAACTTCTTGTTTATTGAACTGTTGTAAAAAATCAATATCATTTGTAATCATGGTAATATTTGGAGACAAACGGCACTCTGTGTGAAATTGAATAACTATATGAAGTGGTATAAATATACACATTTTCTGCCCCCATGTCTTGAATTTGTGATCATTCTAAATGCATTGTAATAGACTGAATCATGCAGTGAAAGAACGCACTGTAAACGCGCACGCGCACTAGACTTCACATAATGTATGCGTGCGCTCTGTAGAGGTGTTTTGAATGGTTTTTGCAAAATATTCGATAATGTCAAATCGCACATTCTTAAAACAACAATTACGATATTATCGCAGACGATATATATCGCACACCCCTAATTAGTATATCATATATTATATTATTATATTATACTATTATATTTGAAAAAAAAAATTTTTTAATTAGCCTGGACATTATACTGGTCTATCAATAAGCACGCCTTTCTTGCTGGAATAACAGAGGTGGCATTTCCTTCTGTCAATTCCAAAATCAAATGCATAATCTGTTGCCTAAAAATATAGATTATTCACTAATAAGTAAATATGGCACCTTTCAATCAGGTTAATATCAGGTTTGACGTGTTCAGACTGGTGTCGTGTGTTATTCTCCATTCAAAAACATCACCGACTGATTTGAGTGCTTCAGTGGAAGGGAAGATGAATTTGACTTAGAGACAGTTCACCCCCCAAAAAACAAAAGCAAACAAATGTTGTCATTTACTCACTCGTCTCATCCGTTTGACTTTTTCTTCCATTGCAACATAAAGGATAATTTGTTTTTTTAGTCCATTCAACATTCTTCAAAATATATTTCATGTTCCACAGAAGAAAGTCATACAGGTCTATAACACCATAAGGGAGAGTGAATGATGACGATTCTCGTTGTTGAGTGGACTGCCCCTTTAAATTCCACTCGGTTCCTCACACAAGGTCACATGACTTCAGAAGAGTTGGAATATAATGTTAAAATAGAGATGGCTGTGAATGCTCCTAATACAGGGATATGATTTTTCCATATTTATAAATGGCCTTAAAACAATTACTAAAAATTCTGTGTCTTAAAATACATGTATTTCATGCAAGGGTTGCTTTAAACAGCACTGCACGAGCTAGTAGCACCATCTAGTGGCCATGTGTAGGAAAACACCTCGGCGGAAAATTTACTAATGCCAAGTGGCCAATATCATGTAGTATGTTACTCACTGTATTACCTGTAACTTTTTTTTTTATTAATTTTTACAATGCATGGTCGTGAAAATGCAATAATGCTTAGTGTGACTAACACAACGCACAGGTTGCGATGCAAGTCACTGTTAATAAGCGAGTCATTGCGATTGAACCGAATCATTTAAACAGTTGATTCATTCAGGAACGAATCGCCATCATGTTGCTCAGAGACACAAAACTGTGCTGTGGCTGTTTGGAATTATTTTTGTTGGAGAAATAGAGCAAAAACAGGCAATATGATGTCTAAAACTTAAGTCTCTTAACTTCTTGTTTATTGAACTGTTGTAAAAAATCAATATCATTTGTAATCATGGTAATATTTGGAGACAAACGGCACTCTGTGTGAAATTGAATAACTATATGAAGTGGTATAAATATACACATTTTCTGCCCCCATGTCTTGAATTTGTGATCATTCTAAATGCATTGTAATAGACTGAATCATGCAGTGAAAGAACGCACTGTAAACGCGCACGCGCACTAGACTTCACATAATGTATGCGTGCGCTCTGTAGAGGTGTTTTGAATGGTTTTTGCAAAATATTCGATAATGTCAAATCGCACATTCTTAAAACAACAATTACGATATTATCGCAGACGATATATATCGCACACCCCTAATTAGTATATCATATATTATATTATTATATTATACTATTATATTTGAAAAAAAAAATTTTTTAATTAGCCTGGACATTATACTGGTCTATCAATAAGCACGCCTTTCTTGCTGGAATAACAGAGGTGGCATTTCCTTCTGTCAATTCCAAAATCAAATGCATAATCTGTTGCCTAAAAATATAGATTATTCACTAATAAGTAAATATGGCACCTTTCAATCAGGTTAATATCAGGTTTGACGTGTTCAGACTGGTGTCGTGTGTTATTCTCCATTCAAAAACATCACCGACTGATTTGAGTGCTTCAGTGGAAGGGAAGATGAATTTGACTTAGAGACAGTTCACCCCCCAAAAAACAAAAGCAAACAAATGTTGTCATTTACTCACTCGTCTCATCCGTTTGACTTTTTCTTCCATTGCAACATAAAGGATAATTTGTTTTTTTAGTCCATTCAACATTCTTCAAAATATATTTCATGTTCCACAGAAGAAAGTCATACAGGTCTATAACACCATAAGGGAGAGTGAATGATGACGATTCTCGTTGTTGAGTGGACTGCCCCTTTAAATTCCACTCGGTTCCTCACACAAGGTCACATGACTTCAGAAGAGTTGGAATATAATGTTAAAATAGAGATGGCTGTGAATGCTCCTAATACAGGGATATGATTTTTCCATATTTATAAATGGCCTTAAAACAATTACTAAAAATTCTGTGTCTTAAAATACATGTATTTCATGCAAGGGTTGCTTTAAACAGCACTGCACGAGCTAGTAGCACCATCTAGTGGCCATGTGTAGGAAAACACCTCGGCGGAAAATTTACTAATGCCAAGTGGCCAATATCATGTAGTATGTTACTCACTGTATTACCTGTAACTTTTTTTTTTATTAATTTTTACAATGCATGGTCGTGAAAATGCAATAATGCTTAGTGTGACTAACACAACGCACAGGTTGCGATGTAATCACATAAATGCTTAGTGTGAAGTGCTCCTGATCTCTCAGTGTCTTGCAGCGGCTCCACACAATCTCCATCTCTGCAAAGGCTGAGAGGTTGGGTCACTTATAACAGATCTCTTCAACCCTGTTTCTGGAGACCCACGCCCACCACGTACTCACCTGCAGAGAGGAAGACAGCTCACACTTGGCCTTCTCAGCAGCCTCTCTCACACGCTGCAGAGCCATGGTGTCTTTGGTCAGATCCACTCCAGACTGCAACGACACACGAAACCACATCAGACCAGCTCACCCCAGCATTTGACATCTAGATGCAACGTTGAAAATCCCGCAAAGCATTCATATGGTCCTCTACTAATGTGTTTTAAGAGCAACTAATCAATCACGTCAAAGCCTACAGCATCTGACAGCAGCTTATGATGGAACCCGACTGCATTAACGAGGTAGAATTAAGTAGTCATATAAATTAATCAAACATCTAAGCAAGTTTTGCTGCCAGCTGAAGAGAAGTTTAAAAGGCGGCAAATGCATTCCAAATGAACAAATCTGTTAAAATGTATTTATTACCAATAACCCATTTATCAACAGTCTTGCATACTTCAGTTTTTTACATTCTATAATGAGGGGTGCATCGATAATCTTTTGGCCAATTCTGTGCAAACTCAACTTTTTTTTTTAAATCGATCTATTAAATTGATATGTAATTGATATCTCTCTCTTGTTCTCAAGTGCATCACTGCTGCATTTGATCTAGGGCTGTCAAAAAAAAACATATGAATTTCGAATATTCGTCGAATTTAAAATAAAAATCCACATTCGAATGCAAAAACGTTGCATTCGAATTTTAGGTGTGCGTCAGGCAGCCTTATCAGCGGCGCACGAGATGCGATGATGATGTAAGTGTCGTTGCATTATAATGTTTTTGTTAGCCTATCCAGTTGAAGCCACTAGATGCGGCGCTGCTGCGTTGTTCATTAAAAATACAGCAGAAAAAGGGAACATCAATGCGAAGAAGATCTTGTTTACATCAAAACCCGAAACCAAGCCGTTCACACAGAACGCATATTTCACGCATTTTCTAGATGGACATCTATTACTGTTGCACTCGCGTCTCGCACAAAAGAGCCGCATGTTTAGAAAGCCATGTAAAATTAATGCAAGTTTAACTTAGAAAAAAACATATCGAGACTTTATGGTGGGTTTCCCCATCCCACTGCAACTCATGTTTTTAAATGAAAAAATGTACTCTGTGTGATTGGCTTTC